ATGACAGTAGAGCTTGAAGAGACAAAGGCTAGAGAAAAAAAGAGAGATGAACAATTTGGTACCTTTCAAGTTCAACTAGAAAGGAGGGACGAACAATTTAATCTCCTTCAAGGTCAGCTGGCCAATCTTCTTGCTAATGGTGCTTTCCCCATTCCACGGTCTCGTGAGCATTCCCCATGTGCCGACGATGAAGGTTCTAGGAATGAAGATAGAGATGATGCTAGATAAAAAACTCATTGAATGGTGTGTATTGCTAAACAAAATATTGAACTTGTCAATATTTAGTTGAGACTAGTTTTGAATGATGATTATATTGTTATTTTGTTATTGAATATTTTAGTAGTTCTTGTTGTGGTTGTTATTAGTTGTTGTTGTTGTTAGATAATGGTTGTTAGTGTAGTTAATAGTTTTTGTTAGTTAATTGTTGTTGTTGTTGTTAGTATATTCATTGTTGTTGATTAATTATGGTTGAATGGCAGCAATGTAATACTGCCATTATAGGATGGATATTGGTTGTAATTGGCAGGTGGTGTAGCTCAAAAATAGGTATTTTTGTCCAGTTTTTACCCAGATTTCCGACCAAATTCGGTCGAAAATTGCAAATAAATTCTCCAGTTTATTGAAATTTCCGACCGAATTCGGTCGGAAATTATGAATTTATATTTATTTTTATAAATAAATTAACAATTTATTACAATTTACAACTAATTATTTAATTAAATAAAATTATTATTATTTTAAATTTCCGACCGAATTCTGTCGGAAAATGAAAATGAAAAATAATAGTAATAATAATAGTTTCCGACCGATTTCGGTCGGAAATTAAAGTTTGACAGTCAGTCAACGCTTTGATGTTTTCGACCGAATTCGGTCGGAAATTTCCGACCGATTTCGGTCGGTACACGTTTGCGACCATTGTTTTCCCGACCAATTAAAATCGGTCGGAATTCGGTCGGAAATTATCAATTTCCGACTGATTTCGGTCGGAAATAGCGGACGGAATTACACTCTTTTTTAGTAGTGTCATGTCCAATAAAATTTAAACAGAACATAATTCCCAACTAATGAACTAAACAACAACACCCCCAAAAGAAAAGTCAAAATAAGGGTAGATTCAACCATTAATAGAATAGAATAAAAATCTTATTAGGTGCATTAGAAAGATAGTCATATAAAGTAACGGATTTCCAGACATGTTTAACAGTACCCAAAGATGAACGAAAAAAGAAGAATAAAAACTAAAACTTGACTTATAGATGTAACATTCAGAGATTATTCAGCGAGAGGCAAGTGAGATTCGCTGTCTACATAACTGGGACTGGGATAGGAATATCAGTTGGCAACATCGTTGGCACTACGTCTGGCACCACAACCGACGCTCTGATGTAATCTTCTTCCTCCTTGGGAGAATGTATTGTGACAAGATCTGGAAGAGGAGTTGTTGGACCTTGCTTTCCTTTTGGATCCCAATCAAGCATGATCTTAACCTTGATGCCAAGTACACCCTGTACAACCCAAAAGAACGGAACACATCACACGACAACAATGACGATAAGAAAAATAAAAGAAATCAAGAAAAGAAAGCAAGCCCCCAAAGCTTAGGTAACCATGCGCCACTGGAATTTCTTGGTCGCGAGAAAAAAGAATAAGGAAAACAAAGCGAACAACTTAGCAAGACCGAGGAAATCACTTGCATGGAACCAACCTGTCTCATGAGAATATGTCTTACAGCAGAGTCAATATACTCCTTGACTGGCTGACCGGAAGAAATCATATAACCGTCTTTGAACTTCATAGATTTAGCACGCTGAGCCCTTAGCTTTCCACTAACGATCACCTGTTTAATAAATCAATCAGGTGTTACTACTCTGTATCTGAGGCGTAGTGAGCAGATATATAGTGCATTGCAGTAGCATACCTCGCATCCCTTGGCTCCACTCTCCATTATAAATCTCAGAACACCATAGCATGCCCTGAAAATAAAAATTCAAAGAGCAATTTAGAAAATGAAATGTAAAACACATTAAACCACAGAACATTGATCACAAAAAGAATTAAGAAAACAAATTCAAGTATGTCTGGAGTATTTTTAGGATTGGAAAGCATAAAAAAGTGACAAGGTTCATGGGGCTTGACGCGAAGAGAGAAGTGAAGCACACAATTTATGGAAAACTTAAAAGTAGTAAGCACCCATGAAATTAGTATACAAAAAATTAAATTGCAATTAAAATAACTATTTCAGTATCCAGTTTGTATAAAGCTGATATAAATCCAACTTCTAAAAGTTGAGTAAAAGAACCGCCTGATTCTCATTGGATCACTTTGTTCACCTTTCTTTAAGCCAAAAACTTCTCTAATGTGAACGGGTTCACCCGTGAAGCCATCATCCCTCGCTTTTCATTGCTTCATCGCTTGATGTGACAAACTGATGGCTTTAATAACGTTGTATGTCGCAACCCAAGGACATATGCGTATATATTTACCAGAATACCACTCACAACATTTTTCGAACTTCGGTTGACATAGTCATCTTCCGACACAAACTCGGCACTAAGTCAACCTAATTGCTTTATAGATACTCAACTTGAGGAATTATCTCAAGCTCAAATAAGGTCACCACTCAAAAAATCATTTTGAATAACATATACTTGTTTTTATAATGGTGATCTAGACCAACTTACTCGCATCTACACTATTTCACCAAGTACCTGCTACTTACTACCAGCACAGGTACCGGGTAACCGCACAAGAGGGTTAAGCAAACAAGCTCCTCAGTTGTCCCTTCAGCTCCACATATAGCTTTCAGTCTATATGACCAAAGCTTCAGAAATTGGAACGATATAAGCATTTTGACAACTTCATCATCAGAGCTTTATGCACAAACAAGAAACCCAGAAAATAAGGTGAAAGAATTGAGCTCAAAAAGGTTTAGGCAAATGGGAAGAAATCACCTATTTTTTATTGTCTCTGCTGGAACACCTACCTCCTAACAGCAAGACCACCAAGGAGCTTGTAGCGAAGTGATTCGGCCTGAGCAACAGCACAAAGCCCTCGGTTGTTAACCTTCTCTGCATATAGCTCCACAGAGTTCTCTTTAAACTTGAATCGCTTCTGGACAACTGATGTCAGTTCCCGAATCCTCCTTCCCTTCTCACCTAATACATGGACCGAATGTATCAAATAACAAAAAATTGATGCTAATCAGCTAAAAATAACACGAATCAGAACTTCATCACATACAGACACTGGGAAACATTTCTTTTCAGCAAGAGGATAAGGACATGAGGTGGAGGGAAACAATTTAGTCATGGAGGACAATAACTTACTACAAAATGAATAAAACGCTACTAGTCATCAGTGAATGTAAATGTCAGATTTTCTCTCTTAGTTCTTGTTCTTTTGGGTCAAAAGTCGAAAAACACTATCCTACCCTTGCTTTCTTGTTCTTTCATTGAAATCCAAATGTCACAAAGATGCAACTTTTTTCTCATTCTCTCATCCTCCGCATCTTATCTCTTTTGTTTGTCCCCTTTCCTCCATTCAAATTTATAAGGCAAACTAAATGGCTAACTCAGCAGTAACTAAAAAAGAACCAAAGGCACAAAATTAATTTCAAACATATCTTATCAATCGAATCTTGAAAGTTTGCAAAGAAGAAACGGCAAGACCAATGATGTCATCAACATAAAATCCAACCAAAATCATGATGAAAATTTAGAAGTTAATGAAAAATTACAAGATTAATTAAGCACTCGACTAAATAGAAATATTCCATCTGTTCCAGTTCATTGCATTTTAAGAAGAATGACATTTAGGTATTTGGAAACAATTTAATTTGGAACTTCCCGTTTTTAACCCTAATTAGAAGCTTTTATAGCAACAAAATTGTTGTAACATGTTTAAGACCAAAAGTTTCAAATCTTACAGCAACAAATGTCTTCCTGTCTTCCTGTCTTTCTTAAACCCCGTTGTAAATCAAACTATGTCACATAAAATTGAAACCGGAGGGAGTAACCGATATTTTTTTGGGACCGAAACCATAAATAGAACGAAGAAAGCTAACAGAAATATCAAACAATACTATAAAATGAATGGAATTTTCACATTAGCCACCAAAAGTATAACCTTCGACACAGAAAATAGTTGAAATAAACCTAAACAGAGTTATCACCTAAAACGTTCTGAGTACGAGTGGCTCTGATGATGATCTCAGTCCTCACAGGAGTAACTCTAACCTCAACTCCAGAATATCCATCCTCAGCCAACTCACGCGTCAACACTTCGTTAAGCTCCGCAAAGAAGACGCCATCAGCAACAAACTGATTCACCAACACCTCCAATCTTAAGTATTCCAGTAAAATGAACAACAGTATATTGAAATTTAACGAAAAAACTTAAAAATATCACCAACCTTTCGTTTTTTGCTAATCTGAGTAACCGGAGTATCCATTTTCAAATTATGCCACCTAAATTGGAACGAAAGGGTATAATTTAACAATTTCAAGCCATTAGAAATCAACAGGAACAGTGATATCAATTTATTTGAGTAATTAAAGCAATTAACATCGATAAACATATACGAAAGTATCACTTACAATTTTCGAAACGGCCGGAAAAAGAGAACGTGAAGATTTTCGCAGCTAAAAACAGCACGTCTATGGCGGCAGAGGAGGGTTTAAGAAGAAATGTAAGTTCGAATCTGGACTCGTTTCTGAAGTAGCCCGTTACAAGGATGGGCTTGGGCCAAGGTCCTTTTTCTCCAATGGGTTCCAATTATTTTTTAGAAAATGATACTTATAATCGTTCTCAAAATAATTATCGGAAATATATATATATTTTTTGTATATGTACACGTCTCTATATATTATATACAAAAAATATATAAATTTTATATACTTTTTTGGCTACTAGATGTAAATAATTTCGGCTACAAGCTAAAAGTAATCTTTGCCCTTATTGTTTTTGGCAAGTTATACATTTGGTCGGTCGGCCAAAAGTAATTACATCTACTAGTCAGTATACAAAAAATATATACAATTATGTATACAAAATATATATATATTTTATATATTATACATTAATATATAAAAAGTATATTTTTCCGTTTACTAATTTTTAGAGCTCCTATACTGTATAGTTTATCCTTTTTTTTTATAGATATATTAAGTACATCTGAAATGAGTTCCAAGGCTATTTGTGCACTTCACCCCATTTTAACATATTCAAANTATATATATATATACTAATTATACATCTGTCGGCTATTTTTTGGGTTATGCGACTATTTAACTTAATTTTAAAGAAGGAAAAATTGCTGCAAAAATTAATTGAATATGATAAGGTAAAGCAAATTTCAAAAACCAAATCCATATTATCTATGTCTTTTTTTCCTTCTATAACTAGAACTTAGTTACTTGCTTTCCTTCTATATACCTCTCATATTATAAAGGGGTATACTTTCTAATACTTTCCCAACATAGTAAATTCAAACTTCAACCGTTATTGTGCTTTGAAGATTGAGGCATCTTCAAAGTATGGGATTTTAATTTGTGTTGCATGAGAAATAATCATAATCATATGTACTACATTTGGAAACCTAGTACCTTAGACTCAGAATCGTTGCTTAATCCTAAAATGAGGTATTTGATTGACAAGGTTGCACTATTGGCACTCAAATCAAATCCTTTACATTTCAAGATTATTTGTTTGTCAGAAAATTTATGTAATAACCCGACTTGTCGTTTTAAGAATTTACGCCCCGTTCAGTGATTTAAGGTCTCGAGAAGTTTCGTAATATATATTATGACTCGCGTGTGTGGTCGAGTTTGATTTTCGGAAGATTCAGAATTTAATTTAAAGAACAATTCTCATTTGTCTGAAGCTTAAATGGAAAGAGTTGACCAGAGATTTGACTTTTGAGCAAACGACCCCGGAATAGAATTTTGATGATTTCAATAGCTTCGTATGGTGATTTTGCATTTAGGCGTATGTCCGTAATTTAATTTGGAAGTCCGTAGGACAATTCGACGCATTTTGGCGAAAGTTGAAAAATATAAGATTTTTGAAGAGTTCGACCGAAGGTTGAATTTTTGATAACGAGGTCGGATTTCAATTTTGAAAATTGAAATAGCTCCATTATGTCATTTATGACTCGTGTGCAAAATATGAAATCATTCCGGATTGATTTGATATATTTCAGCGCAAAATATAGAAGTTCGAAGATTTGAAAACTCATAATTCGATTCGATGCGCGATTCGTAATTTTGGCGTTGTTTGATGTGGTTTGAAGCCTCGACTAAGTTCGTATTGTATTTTGGGATATGTTGATATAATTGATTGAGTTTCCGAGGGCAACGGGTGGATTTTGGGTGGTTAACGGATCCATTTGGACTTGAAGAAAGCTGCTGGAATTGCTGGGCAGCAGCTGATGTTTTTGCTTCTGCGGAAGCTTCATCGCAGAAGTGAGGTCAAGCTCGTAGAAGCGACTAAGAAGGGGTACTAGATAGAGGTCGCAGGTGCAACGCATTTTGCGCACATGCGTGATTGCAGAAGCAACCACTGGAACACAGAAGCGGAATGAGGCTGTTGGGCATGGCTTCGCAGAAGCTATCGCTTTGTCGCAAAAGCGACATCGCAGATGCGAAGTTTCTACCGCAGATGCGAGCTTATGCTGGGCAGTGTACTATGGAGCTTCGCATATGTGCATTTTGGATCGCAAAAGCGAGTCCGCAGATGCGACAAATCTGCCCCGCAGGTGCGAAACTAGGCAGAAATTTAAGGACCAAAAATGGTCTTTTCTCCATTTTCGATTGAATTTTTGGAGCTCGATTTTTGGGCGATTTTGGATGAATTCTTCACGACTTCGACTTGGGTAGGTATTCTATATCCGAAAGTGAATATATTTCATAAATCCATGGTTATATTCATCGTTTAATTCGGATTTAAATGGAAGAAATTGGGATTTTTGCAAAATCTCTTCAAGAACAAAAATTTAAGATTTGGAGGTCGAGTTGTTATCGAAATTTGATAAAATTGGTATGGTTGAACTCGTATCCGAATAGGTATTCGAATTTCGTAAGACTTCTATCGGGTTCCAAGAGGCCGGCCCTGCGTTGACTTTAGTTGACTTTTTAGAATAAAATTTTAAATCGACGTTATATTATTCGAAATTGGTTCCGATAGATTTTAATGAAGTTATACAATTAATTTGAATAGATTTGAGCTGTCCAGAGGATTAATTCAAGCAAGACAGCTATTTTGGAATATCGGCATAACTTCAAAAAGGTAAGTATCTTGCCTAACCTTGAGTGGGGGAATTACCCCTTAGGCATTGAGTCTTATTTGGAAATTGTATGATTGAAAACTATGTACGCGAGGTGACGAATACGTATTTGGTTTATATGTGCAATTTATACCGGTTAAAAAAATTGTAGACACCCATATATATTAAATTAGAAAATTATTGGAACATAGTAAATCTTTTATTTGTCATGCCTCGTTCCTTGTTTGTCGAGTTTGTATTTTATATGATAATTTGGGGTGATTGTCACTTGAATTTTATGTGAATTCCGTGTGTTTGTTGATTTGTTATTTTTTGGAATTAATTTCATTATGGATTTTTCATCTGTAAATAATTAATTAAATAAGCTTAATGTAATGTCCCGGCCGGTTGTTTTGAGTATTACAACCTTGTTTTCCCATTTACTTCTCAAATTGTACTTTACAGTTATGTGAATTGCCGGGGTAATTGGTTCGGGTCCAGTGGGAGGTTTTTGAAGGAATTGGAACACTTAGTTCCAAGGTTTAAAGCTTAAGTTAAAATAATGATCGGATGCGGACTTATGTGTAAACGACCTCGGATTCGAATTTTGATGATTCCAATAGCTCTGTATGGTGCTTTTGGACTTAGGAGCGTGTCCGAAAAATTATTTGGAGGTCCGTAGTGGAAGTTGGCTTGAATTGCCGAAAGTTGAATTTTTGGAAAGTTTGACCGGGGGGTTGACTTTTTTATATCGGGGTCAAAATCCGATTCCGAAAATTGGAATAGGTCTGTAATGTGAAATGTGACTTGTGTGCAAAATTTGAGGTCAATCGGATATGATTTGATGTGTTTCGGCGCAAGTTATAGAATTTAAAGTTTCAAAGTTCAATGATTTCGAATTGAGGTATAATTCGTCGTTTCAATGTTGTTAGGTGTGATTTGAGGCTTCGAGTAGGTCTGTGTTATGTTATGGGACTTGTTGATACAATTGGTTGAGTTCCCGGGGGCCTCGGGTGAGTTTCGGACGGTTAACGGATCAAATTTGGACATAAGGAAATGCTGGAACTGCTGCCTACTGGTGTGATTGCACCTGCGAAGCCGCATGTGCATGAAATAAGCCGCAGAAGCGGCCAAGAGTGGGACTGGACAGTGATCGCAGGTGCGAGGAATTTGCCGCATCTGCGAGGCCGCAGGTGCGAAGGTGTTGGCGCAGATGCGGACTGGGGTTGGCGAGAGGCGAGAGGCGACCGCAGGTGCGAAGGGGAATGCACATCTGCGAAGCACGCAGATTCGAGAATAGCGCCGCAGATGCGAGATTTTGGAGGGACGGCTGTTTTACGCAGGCGCGCATTTTTGTCCGCAAAAGCGGATGCAAAGGTGCACAAATCTTGTCCGCAGATGCGGAAATCGCTGGGCAGAACCTTAAATTCGAGGGTTCAATATTTTCACCCATTTTCGGATTTTGGAGCTCGGGTTGGGCGATTTTGGAGAGGAAATTTCCACACAACTTGGGGTAAGTGTTCTTAATTCCCTTGTGATTATATTCCATGAATTAATCTTCATTTTTTTTGTAAGATTATTGAATCTTCAAGAGAAATAGAAGAAAATTTCTATAATGTCACAAAACGAATTTTTCAAGTTTGAATACCGATTTGGAGTCGGATTTGAGTGAAATTAGTATGGTAGAACTTGTAATTGGATGGGTTATCGTATTTTGTGAATTTTATCGGATTTCAAGACGTGGGCCCCACGGGTAATTTTTTGGGGGCGTAATTTCAGATTTTATGGCAAATATTAGCGTTTTGATATGGAATTAATTCTTATAAATTGTGTGGACTGAGTCAAATTATTGTGACTAGATTCGAGCCGTTTGGAAGTTGATACGCGTAGAATGGAATTTCTGGAGCATTGCTTAGCTTGCTTGACATTGGATTTGGCATGTTCGAGGTAAGTAACTCTTCTAATCTTGGAGTTAAGGGTATAAACCCTGAATATATGTATTATGTGAATTATTGGGAGGTGACGCACATACTAGGTGACGGGCATGTGGGCGTGCACTATAGAAATTGTGACATAATTATTTCTGTGGAATTTTGTAGTTAAATAATCTTGGCATTTTCCATGCGGTTTTATGAGTTAGAGAAATTAAGCTGAAAAGCATATTAAAAATCATGATTGAGGCTATGTGCCATTATTATTGGGACCCACAGAGGTCATATTGCTGTGAATTATTTTTTTTAAATTGAAAATTCATACTCAGTCATATTCATTTCATTGCATATCATAACTTAGTTTTATGACTCTATTTTGATGCATATAAATGTTTTGGGCCGAATGCCCTGTTTTACTGAAATGCTCGAGTGGCTTGAGAGGTTTATGACTGAGTGAGGCCGAGGGCCTAATTTGTGAGGATATTTATGGGATCGGGCTACACGTCG